TAATCTATTATGCTTACAGCTAATGCAGTGGGGTCAGTTTTTGGATCATGACATAACGGTAAGTGACATGCTGCCTTTCACAAACTGCATATACATATGGATAAACATATGGATATATACATATGGATATGTGCTGGTACTAATTACATATGTAACTGTTATAAACGGCTGTATTTTGCAGCATACACCGATCACGGCCATCGAAGTACAGCAAGGCGCTCGCAGTCAGCTGATGACGCCGAAATGCTGTGATTTGCCGGCGGGAACGGTAGCGCACTCGTCATGCTTTGCCATCCCGATTCCCCGGGCGGATCCGTTCTTCCCGCGATTCGGTCAGGAGTGTCTGGAGTTTGTACGGAGTAGTCCGGCCACCAATGTTCTCGGGCCGAGAGAACAGCTCAACCAGTTGACGTCCTATATTGATGGTAAAAAGAGCCGAAATTATGATTTTTGTTGAAAAAAAGCCACCGTGCTAGCTTCTTTCGGAAAACTAACATTATAATGGGTAACAAATTTTAAAATTTACTAGCGGTGGTTGTTAACCACAATATTGCACGAGCGCGAGCGCCAATACCACTGAGTAGTGATAAGAGTACTGGGTTTGTGGAATTGGAAACGTGAGCGGTGACGCTCTTCGTGGCGTCAGACAAATTTATGCTCTTGACAATCAGTTAACTGCAGCACCTCGCGCTAAATTAAATCACAGATTGATTTCCCGATTTAGTACATTGCATGAAAAGGCTTGTGAACTGCAAAATAGAAGAAGCCACAAAAGACTGTATTGTAGTTAGCAAATACCTTCAAGGTAAGGTAAATAGTACATACTACATACATACAGTATGTACATACATATGTACAGTATGTATGTATGTATTTCACGGAAAATTCAGTTTTTATTTTTAGCTATTCGTTATCCGCAGTGTATAAGTACTTGTACACACGATGTAAACATACACAGTGTCTATATGTTTCAGCGTCTCAGGTTTACGGATCAACGCAAACCACCGCCAACAGCCTGAGAGCTTTCAACATGGGTGCGTAAAAATTGCATACAGTATTTAGAAATGGCAGTATTAACAGCCGAATATTGTAGGAATGATGCTAATACAAACCCGCAACAATGAGGCACTCTTGCCATCCGATACCACCACCGAGGAGTGCTTCCGTCGCACCAATGACCGAACATGTTTTCGAGCCGGTACAATTAAAATGTTGCAGGACCCGCCTTTTGACACACTTTTCTTAGAAGAAATCGCTCAATCATGAATTATTTTTATGTGTACAGGAGACGTCAGGGTAAACGTACACACAGGATTAGCCGCGATGCACACACTCTGGTAAGACGCTTGCCGACTGCCGACGCCAAGAATATGGAAGTCTCATACGCATTTGTACTAACAGGTTACGGGAGCACAACCGCATTGCCCGCGGACTGTTCAGCATGAATCAAGCGTCTGGATGGGACGATGAACGAGTGTACCAAGAAACGCGGCGCATTATCGGCGCCATGTTCCAGCACATCACATACAACGAGTTTCTCCCGGTGGTGCTGGGGCGGGATATTATGAACCAGTTCGGACTTAACCTGCTGACCACCGGTTATTATACCGGCTACTCCGATCAGGTCAATCCGTCAGTGGCCAACGAATTCGCCACGGCAGCATACAGGTAACCTTATTGGCAAAGCAAATGGTTAAAATTACGATTGCATTAATGAAATTTTATTTTTAAAAAAATTTCTTTTATATTTAGTAAATAATTTATTTTTAGTTAAACATAGTTAAGGTTTCTGTTTAATATTTAAATTATTTTATAAGAAATGTTTACGTTAAAAAAGAACCGAAATTGCCAGCGCATGCACCGAATAAAGTTGATTGATTTTCGCAGATTTGGGCATTCGCTGGTAAACGGTTAATTCCGCCTGGATAACCAGAACGGGCAAGCCGTCTTCGCCAATAACCTGGTGAACAGTTTCTTCCAGCCGCTCATTTTGTACGACAACGGGCGATGCGATCAGTACCTGCGGGGTATGACGTCACAGAACGCACAGACCTTTGACCGCAACGTCGCGGAGGAACTGAGCAACCACCTGTTCCAACCTCCCGGTAAGTGTAACTAACAACAGCGCTTATAATTTTGTTAACCCAAAAAGATGACGGTACTGAAAAATGCTTATATCGGAACGAAATATTTACATCATATACTGGAGGAAGGGCATAATTACGTTGTTATTGAACAGGTCAGCCATTCGGCAACGATTTGATCTCGCGGAATATCCAGCGCGGTCGCGACCATGGACTGCCCGGATACAATTCCTGGCGGCGCTTCTGCGGCTTCCCCACAGCCAACAGTTTCGATGAATTGCGCGGTGTGATGGCGGAAGACGCTCTACAGCGGCTGGTGACGCTTTACGAGTAAGAATGCCGCTAATGCCAGCAAACAATTTCAATGCTGCATAAATGCTGGCTTATATAGGCATCCAGATGATGTTGACCTTTTCACCGCTGGTCTGTCGGAACTAGCGGTCAGCGGTGGACTGGTGGGGCCAACATTCGCCTGTATCATCGCCCGGCAGTTCCACAATCTGCGCCGCGGTGATCGCTATTGGTATGAGAACAACAACGGCGCTGGAGCCTTCACACCTAGTACGTATTTTATATTTCATTGCACTTCATAACTTACTGCAGTGTACTGGATGATATTGCAAATATGGGGTACTCTTTTGCTTTAAAAGTGACAAAATGTTTCTCGTATCGCAGCGCAACTGGCGGAAATCCGCAAAGCCTCCCTGGCTCGTGTTCTTTGTGATAATACGGACTCTTTCGTTATGCAGCGCCGCGTCATGGTGGAGCCGATTCCCTTCATGAACATGTATTTTTCATTTAATTTATTTTCTTTAATACATACATACTTCCATTTCTGCGAAACAGCACTTCCTAATGATCCATATCTAACGTTGCACTGGACTGATTATTAAATATATTAAATATAAGAGATATTGCGTGTACACGTAGAGTATGGGCGCAACCACGATTTCGGCAAATAGTGCTATTGCGATGTTTTGTGCAGAAGCATGAATGCAAATTACAGTTTTGTGAATGTGTAGTTATACAATTTTTTTATTTCTGCATGCGGTAATTTCATAAGTATTACTTTGCGTAACAGAAGACTAAGTAGTGAAGTTGCAAATACTTCATATTCGAGAATCTGTATTAGATTGCGAATTTAGGCTTCAGTTGTGCCATATATCAGAGGTGACTCGTTGTCCAAAATAAATTAAAATAATAAAATTAATGTAGTATAACAATATGCTAAATGTGGAATACAAATTGAAAAAGCTATATAGCATACGGTATAAAGCGAAGTTATATAGCATACAAAACATCTAAATCATCACTAATTCGATGATGCAATATCCCGAAACAAATGTTTTCTTGTCTGCAGCAACCCCAAGCTGGCCTGTAACCAAATCTCCTCCATCGACCTCAGCATCTGGCGCGCACCCGGCGGCGGTCCCATGCAGCAGGACTTTGTGCCGCAGCAGCCGCCCGTCCAACAATTCGTCCAGATCCAGCAACCCGTCGTCAATCCGCAACAACAGCAGACCATCATCTTCCCCGGACAGAACCAGCAGCAGTTCATCCAGCAAGTCAACGGCCAGTTTCCGCAGTCCTTCCTCCCGGGACAATTCGGGCCCCTCCCACCGCTCAACCTCCTCAACCAGTTTCGGTTTCGCGCAGACGCCGCGGTGACCACCGGTGGGTTAGGAGCGGGCGGGAATAAGACGGTATTCAGTGTGGGACCACCGGATACAAAGGATATCGACAGTCTGGCCGAGGGGACACGCAATCACTTGTCGGTCGTGCGAAATATGGCCGCGAATGGGAATGGGACGGTGATTAATTAAAACGTGTGTGTATGGTGTGGTTAGCAACAATGAGTGCTTTCGCGATCGTTGGTCAGTTGTGTCTACTGGGATGTGGAGGAGTGATGGAGTGATGGAGTAATGGAGTTTGTTATTATTGTATAATTATGTCGTCCGCGTTACTGAATTGTAGTCACTGTTGAAGGTTGCATGCACAGCAGAATTTATTATGGCAGTACTGCAGGCTAATTTTACATAATTATTAATAAAGTTTTATAAATTATGCCAAAGACACACGTAAGATATTTAACTATTGCAGTACTATACAACCAGAAGTTCGGGTTGCAAAGTGCTGCAATAGTTATGATTTTGGTCCAGAACCATAACGTTCTCTGGGTGCAGTACACAGTTACCGGTATACAGTTTAATATTGACGCCGTATACAGTCAACAGAGTAAAGCACTCGTCTAAATAAAAACTTCGGTATGTTAGTGGCAATTCATTAAGAATAAGGACGTGTAAAATAATTACAAAAAGTTGTAGAATAATTACAAAACAAAATTTGCTGACTTCTAGTAAATTGCAAGTATACATAATATATATAAAAGCACAGATATATTTGCGGCACCTAATTATTATTTATAGTATATTATGTGCAATAACTATTAATTATGACGCAATAATTACTATGTGCAACTTGCATCAGGTTCTGCCTGGTAAAACCTGGTAAAAAAGTACTTGTTGTTTCTGTTTTTGATGTTACACGATAGGCAAATAAAGCAGCGGCAAAAGTACATTTCACGGAATATGGGAAAAATAAAAACAGTTTTTCATACTGGCAACTTTAAAGTGGTAAGCATTACATGAACTGTACAGCAAAACGATGCATATGAGCGTTAGGGAAAAACTTGCCGGTTGGGCTTATTCAAATTTAATTAATCCTGGTGAAAGTGTTTTCGGGGTGGATGTAAAACGCGGCTTTCTGGCGGGATGAGCTGAGTAAATGTGGCCATTAGGCGCAGTGGGCCACCTCTGAACCTCATTCATTATTTAGCCCTCACCAACACCATCAAAATGATCACTCTTGTTTTTCCATTTTCCCGATCATTTCTGCGTACACTGTTCCACGGGAAAAGGTTTTATGGGGTGTCCTCACTTCATTACGCACAGGCACAGCCACCCGGCACAGGTTAAAAGCTGACCATTTTTACGATCCACATAATGCAATGGAGGGAAGTTTATAACCGGCATTTAGACCGTTCCACGTATCGAGATATGTAGTTGGACGTTGTGTTGCTTTATTGGGAAAGGTGTTGTGTCTTTCCGCGGGTTTGTATCATGGGCGAGATACTGCCGGATGTTGTGCATTATGCGGAGAAGGAGTGTAAACAATCGGTTTCACCGCATTCCAAGACATACGGTAAGACGATTTGTCATTTAAATGCATAAAAAGTTCGTAAAAAAATTCAGGAATATTTAAAAAAAAGGTGAATGTAAATCTCCTAGACTTCTTATATAAAATTATATAAAATTATGGTCTTATGGTCAGTCAGCAGTCGGCGACGTAGTGGGCAAGTGACCTTTGAGCCCTCAAAACGCCTTGTAACAACAATTGTATAAATCGGTACTGGTATTCGAATTCCAGTAGTTAATCTTATAAAATTACATTCATGCATAGGGACGGTATATTTATTGTGGACAGTCACTCACTTTATACGTATTACCAACGTAAATGCAAGTATTACAACTGCTGTAGCACAGTACCATCTACAATTTACACAAAACACCGGTGTCTGTGCAAAAATTCGTATTACGGTTTGATTTTATTGTGCTCCTTTTATAACCATCAATAAAAAGTTAATTTATTTTTTCGCTAGTTCCACAAGGCATTGCGCCGCATCAGCTGTTTGTGGGCGATTTGCCATCCCATTTAACGGAGGATGGTCTACGGGAGCAGTTTTGCCGCCTTTGGATCGGTGCTGTAAGTGCATATCCCGTACTCGTATATTATTCGTAGTACAATAAGAGTATGTGCGGCATGTTGGGGATTAATGTATGTTACTGCATGATAAAGACAGTAATACCAGCATACTGCACGCAGTGTTTAAATATGCATGCTGATTACTGTTGGATGTGTGTGTTTGACACTGTCATTTCCACACAATTGCATTAACATTACACTACGCTGCACGGCTCACCAGGGACTGCCGAGTCATCCGCGATCCCCTCACGCATAAGTCCAAGTGCTTCGGATTTGTCCGCTTCGCGAAAAATGAGGTGAGCAGCTCGAGGCAGTAAAGCATTTGCATTTGAAGTTAATTATCGTGGCAGTACATAATTATACAAACTACTAAAAAACATTTGACGGGTTTACAATATCATAATCATATCCAGTGCAGACTTTTACGTATCCCACACAGACATAATAATAATCTCAAATATATTACAGTCACTAATCTAGCTCAATCAATCGCTAACCATTGTTATTTCTTCCCTTGCAACGGCTATCTAAAAGCTCGGTTTTCCAAAAAAAGCTCGTAAATCGGACGCTTGCTTGTGCATTTTATTGTGGATAATCACAATGATGACCGTTTTTTGTAATTTATGATGTGCATCAAACAAGGATAATTATCTACGCTCATTTTCGCATTTGTTGCCAGGAAGCCGAAATAGCCATTGCGCAAAGCAGCAGCATGTTTATCGATGGCCGCAAAGTACGCACAAACTGGGCGGTGAAGCGGGATCCGGACTATCCGCTATCGCTCGAGCAGGTTTTAGTGCAAGCATCACCCTACAACACAACAATCTATATCGGCGGTCTCGGTCGCAACTTTAACGGTATAAGACCATGACCCCGATGGGCGTGTCTGCAATCATCGTATAACGTCTACTCTGGTTATAGCGGAGTTCGTGCGGGGCATGTGCGCCATGTACGGACCCCTAATGGAACTTCGACTCTTCCAGGACAAAGGTTACGCTTTCGTCCGCTATGCTACTCGAGAGAGTGCGGCTGGCGCCATACTGGGCATCAATAACAGCGAGATCAACGGGTATCATGTGCGCTGCTCCTGGGGCAAGGAGATGCGCGACCCATATATTCTCAAGGTAAGTAACAAGTAATGGCTGTGCTAGTTAAAAGATTATTTTGTACCGGTGTTTTGTGCATGTTCCGTGCGATGCAGGGGCACAACACTATTTAAATTTTGCATCTACTGTAATTAAGTTAGCCTTGAGACATTCCTATCAAATATCCGTACGCGAATATAGGTGTTATGTTAAAGTGGCAGTTAAACCACAATTGCAAATCAATTTCTTCCACTAAAGGTCAATTTTGTACATATGTAAATCAAGTACCTACGGTCGTTAATTTCCGTGACTGTTCCCGCAGATGGCCCGCACGATGCCGACATTGATGGACGGCGGTTACACGCCCTGTACACTACCCAGTCACATTACCGCAGCGTTTCCGCCGGCGCCGCCGCTGTGGCCCCTTATACCGGCAGCGCCGCAGCCGCCTACCCAGATCGCCACTAATATCGGCAACTACCACATCTCTTTTCCCTACGCTACACCGCCTTTTTATCAGACCATACAGTTCTGAATTACAGTTCACAATGTTGGCATAACATTAGAGTAAGGGTACTAATAAAGTGAGGCAACTGTCTTACTGCTATAGTATTATGATGACTACTATAATAATAATATACATTTTGAATTGCCTGTTGGACTACTGAGTTTAATGTCCACATTCAAACCCGGAAACAAACAATTGAAAAACCTTTTGAGTTATTGCGAGGAGTCGAGGACTGCGGTATAGTGTCGGGTATACCACCGAGAATGAACGGTACTGCAGCGCGAGGAAGGTAGCCGGAAGCCAACCGTATGGGACTTGCAGCGCCTGTGAATTGTGCCCTGCATACATTACTACTGAATTTTCTACACTTTACATGTGCGTTTCTTTGACGATTTAGCGTTAATAACAGGCAGCCACATATAATACTGACCACATGTGCGTAATTAATTTCGCCTGTACATGTCAGTGCGTGTTGTCGTCAACGGATTCTAAAGTTGTTTGGACGAACGCTCGTCTCTCATACATACAGTTTAGTCGTCAGCCACTTTCACTGTCTAATTAACACTCACGCGCCAACTTGTCACAAATATAAAAACCATTCTTTTTCATACCGATGTTCAATGCTTTGTAATCATCGCGCACGGTCAAAATTAAGTAGTCGATAAAGTGGACATGAAAAACAATAAAGCAGTTTCATGACATTGTGGAGAATATGTATTTTATAGGCAAAATAGGTCGCTGCGCAGAGCAGTGGTCCATATTTCGAACTTAACGCTAAGGCCAACGTACGATGCGCAGGTTCGCATCTGCTGCTCGCTGCCGACACTCATCGGCTAAACGTTTGTGCAAGTTGATGTTGCGCACATTATCACGGTGTTATGTTTTTTTTTATTTTAATGTTGATGAACAACAATCACGGCTTATTTACTGCGCGCAATCTTTTTCTATTTGTCAAAAATTTGTTATGTGTGTGTTGAATCTGTTGATATTACTGGCATTATAAAATTAGATTTTATAATCAATTAAATTTATTCTATCTAAGTAAAACTTGATTGCCTGTAATCGGGGAATTTAAAATGAAGCATATAGGGAAGATGCACTGATTCAGGGACGCGGAAGATGAGGTGATATCGTTGTACGTGTTTGGGAAGAATCGCCATAATTTCCTACACTGATTGCTGGCAATCCAGTCCCATATAATATATAAAGCTAACAATGGTTTGCCGCCATTGGGCATTGTGGATCTCTTTCGGTATTGTGATATCGCTCGCCGGTAAGTGGCCATAAAAGCACCGGCTTATACAACTGCTTTGTCAGCTTTGACATACTTTCATTGCCCAAATAATTACGTGTTCAGAAACTGTATAGTCAATACGCCTAAAACTTGCCATAAAGCAGAATGTAATTTTTTTACAGCTTTTCGAATGTTTTCTATATAATTTTCCTAAATTACTAATTTTAATTACTTATTAATTTGCTTTTAGTAACTCATTTTAACTTTAATTCAATTAAATCCTTGTACAATATTTACACGCAACGAGTACATATTGTTGTTCCTGCTTGTGCATGTATAATGATAAATGAATGCATAATTGCAAATTGAATTGACTAATTTCTCATTCGAAAACATCAGCATAGGAAGCGTCAAGTATGACCAGTTTTAAGTAAAAAAAAACTATTAATTAAATGAAAACTTTAGTAAATAAAATTTTTTAGGGACGTTAAGCGCCGCCGATCCCGATGAAGACCTGGCCTACCCAATGGTGCGGAAACTACGCTCCACCACCAGAGCTACCCGGGCTACCACTACAGAAGACAGTGACCTAACTGATACCACCGTCGAGGACACTTACCGCGACCAGCGGACTACCACGAAATCCACCAAAGCCTCAACGACAACTACGGAAGCGCCCACGACGGAGGAGCATATCGAGGTCAAAACCCGACGTCGGGGCCCCACTACCAGTACCTCCACAACCACGACGACTCTGTCGGCCGGTACGGAAGTGATCGCCGGGACCTCCGACGAAGAATCCTACCGCGTCAAGACATCGACAACGAAAGCGCGACCCTCGACAACGGAGGAGTTGTATGGCGCCCGCCGGATAACCACCACACCGGCGATCGTCACCACCACCACATCCACCGCCGGTACGGAAGTAATTGCCGACGTCTCTGACGAGGAATCGTATCGCGTAAAGACGACGACAGCGCGCTCAACGATAACGGAGGAGATGTATAACGCGCGGCGGATGTCGACGACAGCGGCTAGCGGGTCAGAGTTATTATCGGGGAATTCCCAGGAGGAATCTAATGCGACGGTGCCTAGTGCGGCAACGACCGTTAGCGCGCAAGTATTCTTTTATTTCAGTTTAGACGTGCATGTCTTTCAGGTAATAAATCCAATTTCAGGATTCCAGCAAAACAGATCACTTCGGCTGAGGTTAACGTTGCAACGTAAGCAGACGTATAAAGTGCAACCTGCTTTCTTTTACGTAATTTTTCGTAATAAAAAATCTTCCAAGAAAGTATAAACCAAATCTTTTAAAATATATAAAGCAAATCTTTCAAAACCGGAAACGTTTCCATATGTATCTTTACATAAGTTAAAACGCCAGATGCTGTTTCAATAGAGATTGTTTTCACAACTAATAACATTTATTTGTGAGCGTGGAAATCAAGCTACGTGGGCACACGGTATGAATTAATAATGAATTTCTTGAAAAATTTGATTTTTTTAAAGAAGTTTAACAAACGAGAAATTTAATTAGCGCATTATAGTGCTCTTGAAAATGGCACGAAATAATAATCAGGGCACATGGTGCACCTATCCATTTTCTCCAGACCATTTTCTCAATTTTCTCCATACAGCGCCTGCCTTTTCCTTGCAGTGCCAATAAAACCAACCTACCGGAAGTGAGCACCACCTTATACTTCAGCATTAACCAGTACGCTCGCCGCAAACGTCAAGCCCCGCCCACCGCCGGTCGCAGCACCGGGGTCAAGCAGGTGCGGGTCCTGATCCGCACCGCCACCCCGGAGGAGATCGCCAAGGCGAAGGAGGTCCCGGCGGCCACACCCATTCAGATCGGAGTCAACTGTCTAACGATGACCCTGCAGAGCGAAAAGCAAGCGGTAATTAATAGGGGCGGCCCGAACACGAAGTGTAAGGGCGCCAAAATGGTACCGATGAAGGAGGCCTTTGCGGCCAATGTTGGAGCGCTGGATGTGCGCATTGCCGATAATTTGGCGACAAATACGTCGACGGCGGCGGACCTTGGAGTCGGACCGTGTTTTCCGTTCGCGGTGGAACTGGTGATGAATGGCGCGTATGTCTCGCTGCAGTGTAAGCTGTATACTGTGTGCATGTAGTGTACGTATGTACGACTGTGACCACATTACCGTAATTTAACATGAAGCGTAATATGACTAAAGTAATTATCAGTTGAGTACAGTAGGTAATATTATGCGTAGCGTTATTATACTTGACTTGAAGTATGTCATTTCAAGTCAAGTTACAGTAATTTATTACCTACCGTTTTTGGGTTTTGCAATGATTTTTTATGTAATTACTATAATATTTTTAATAAAAATATTAATGTATTTATTATGTAGAGATTCTCGTTTCTGTTTTTATTATGTATTTATATTACGTACAAATTTTGCATATTAGTTTCCTTTTGTCCTGTGTATTTTTGTCTTAATACGTGTCTTCAAATATTGATTGCATCATGCAGCCAATGACGACGAGATGAGCGTAACGGACTACGCGGACACCTTGACCTTGGACCGGTTAGGCAGGCGCGCGTCAAAGACGGTCGTCGCCAAGTTATACCGGCTTTTGTCATCGAATGTTGACGTGGACATTCAGGGCATGGGTCTGACCAGCAAGAAGTCTCCGCAGAATCTCAACTCCGGCAACAGTTTGTTGCAGATGAACATTCCCACCAATAAGGCACAGAGCGCCCACGTTATTCTGCTGGTGCATAGCGGGCAAAACGGTGATAAAATTATTGATCGCAAATAAATATTATCATTTCCTTTATTGATCATCTATAAAAAACTTGCTCATTTCCCGTTGTTAAAAAGCACCTTTTTCGTAAAATTTAGGACAGTGTAATACCACTCAATTCATCGATGAAGAAGCATCCGAGTTCTCCTCGGGCGACACATCATCCGGTGGCGACAGCATGACGAAAGTCGGCAAACCCGGCGGACTGAAATCGGGCGGTAAGGTCAGAACGTCACCGAGTAAGAACGGTAACGGATCCACCGAACACAGCGGTACCGATGAAGACGTCGCGCAACAAAACCCAGGAAACAATGACGCCCTTGGGGTTTCAACATCGTCGCCTAATAACGGATCGAACGCTTCCAACAACAGTGACACCGATGATTTGGGTGACAATAATGGTGGTGGCGGACGCGGTAACGGCACATCCCTGACACCAAACGCCGGTAACGCCGGTAACGCCGGTAACAGAGATAATAGTACCAACGAGATCGACAACGCCGGGACACCGGTAACTCCCATCAACGGGAGCAAAGCCGACCAATCTGGAGGTAATAATGGTACGGCGAATGCCGGTGACCTTTCCAACGCAGGCGCCGGTAACGCTACCACGCAAGTAACCAACGCACCGGGAATCCTTGCCACCCCGGCTTCGGCTGGATCAGCTGCGGATGCATCGGCAGGAGGACGAGCGGCGGCGTCTGGAAATGCCGGTCAAGTTGGTACCGGGAACCAAGGAGTTGGTAATTCTTACGGCGGTGGCCAGCCGGCGTATTCCGGCGGTAACGGTTATTCCGGCGGTGGAGGTTATTCGGATGGATACGGTAATACGTACGGAGGAAACGGGTTCGGTGGGCTAACGGGAGGGTACGGGCTACCCTTCCCCGGGATGCTGCCAGGATACGGGTAAGGATAATAACAACGAACCATGGCGGGTTTCTGATTTTATTGGTGGTGCCGTTGTAGGATATTTGGTTTGGTGGGGCCGTATGGACTTTTCGGTCCCTGGGGATAAACGGTTTCACGGTGAGGGTCAAAATGTTGGAGTTGGCAAATGTCAGATAAATTCAATTCGCACAATCCTCCTTTTCTTGCCGTATTAGCTAACATTTTCAGGATTAGTATTTAAAACTTCTCATGCCCATGTAACGTTTGTTCTGTGGCGGCTGCCACGTAAAAACATGGTGAAAGGCGATAATAATTATTATGGGAAGACGAAATTTGGAAAATGGTAGATTCGGGTGACTGACACAATACATGAAAATCAGTTAACTTGGATGATACATGAATGTACTCGTTCGTAATAATTTGTTATTCGTTGTACGCTGACGAAAATAAATCGGTAGCACTTGTATTTACTGTATTTCACACAGTGCGTCGAGCGCGTTATAATTATTGTACTCTCTCTGTACGTCTCAATTTCAAAAATTTATATATACGCAATTTCGTGAAACCTACCAATCTGATGCGAAGCGGCTGCATTAACTGTAACATCATAGAATTTTATTTTGAAAACCAAAAAGTAGGCCATTGTACACTTGTATGCACAATAATCATATTTAATACGCTGAAGCTAAGCACAACATGAAGGTCAAATTGTGGTGTACGCTGTCCGCTGTCTTAACGAGCTTTTATTACCGGCACAGCAATGTAGTTCATTTGCTGCTAATTGCTCCAGTTGTTACCCACTGCAAGAAACGTTAATTGGGCATAATTGCAGCGACAATTAGCACTTGAGTTAAGATTAAAACTGTCAGCATTTACCACAATTCAACAACAGCAGTGAAAAAAACATTTTGCGGAATATTGTTGCAAGCGGCGGTAAAAAGGCAGCTGCAAAATGTTACTATGTAGTTTTTCTGTTTTATTGCCAGTTGTCTTAGTCATTACCACATCAAACGAAACATCGGCTGCCCGAATAGCTTTTACAAATGAAGGCATAGGTTATCCACGTTATGCTGTTGGGAGGTCATATGACGACGGATATTCTGGAGGAGGCGGCTACGGCGACCAGAGTGGTGGCTTTTATGGCGGTGGTTTTCCTGCGTTCGGGTAAAACGAATCTGTTCATATTGAACGCTATTTATCTAATAATTTAAAAGACTTCAAAAAAAATGGTCCGGTACTCTGTACAGAGTGCATTGATCAGTGTATTGCGAGAGCGCGCCATTAATTTTCAATGACCATACAGCCTGTTGCCATACGAGCATACCGGACCGTTTTCTAATATTGTTGCACACGTGTAAAAAAGCCCCGGTACCCTGCAATGCGCCGTGAACATAAAGCGTTACAAAAGCAGCTTTTTACAGATTGGGAATCTCTGGCTGGATGAGTCCATATGCATATTTCTGGGGTGGCCTTAACGGTTTATTTGGATTCAATGGAGCCAACAGCTATTAGCACCATTCTATGATGCGTTTTGCTTAAAATACGAATTGTGCAAAAGTTTATTAAACTTTTGCACAGTCTATTCAGCAACTACCTCTGTCAATTATTTAATATCCACGTTTAGTATACTTTATATTTTTGGTTGTTCTACAGATTATTTAATTTTCGTTACGTTTGTGCGGATTGTGTTTTGCCATATATCGGAGGCTAGCTTTTTATGACACAGCAAATTTGTTTGCTGCGACCGAACTGGTTCTCCTTGGCATTTATTAGACACTTAAAATGAGCGGCAAGTAACGCATCTTAACCTGGTTGGAATATTACTAGAAATATACGTATAATTACATTGATTGGTCGACCGAGCGAAGCTATTAAAGTTCCGAACTTTGCGTTTGAGATTGCGTTGTTCTGTGCGGTTTCTGTGCGGCACAAGTCTGTAAAAGCTCCAAATTCTGCAACAGCTACAAAAAATACGCATTTGAACTTTTCGGTTATCTGGATGCTATTCTGTAAAAGGTCAAGGGCACAACAAAATATATGCACACCGGAGACAGCACTTTTGCCCTTGACTTGCAAGCCATTTTATGTTCACTTTCTTAAGCTTTCACAAAAGGAATATTTCCACTTTCAGCAGTCTTACGCTGTGGAATCTCGTGTAGAAATTTAAAAAAAAATTGCATAGAGGCAAACTTGCAAAGGCCTTTTTCTAGTCGCACAAATATAAAGAATACATACGGTCAAATGCACCGATAAAGAGAATAATGCAGCGCGTACGCAGTGTGGTTAACGCAGGAAAATTAAAATTACAAATGCACGGCTGACAATTTACTACCGTTCAATGCTAAGGTAATACTGTAATAAAGCGGTGATGAGAACTGGGCTGACGTGCAGAGCGCTGATCCAGTTATGATGGCCGTGTGAAGGGCAACGTCCGCTGCGCGTTCATAAGCCGCTGCTGTCGGCAATCAACAAGGGCTGCGCAACCTTCAACTTACACACCATCGGTACCACGCCAAAATCTAAATCAATTAAGCCAGTGTTGTATCTGTAATTATCTTTTTTCAACATTTTGTGGAATAATTATTCGCTCTTCGTATTCGTGTATATTTCGATAATAGTAATCATTCGCTTCGCAGTTCCTGTAACAATCATCAATCGAAATTAACACCGGACTACCAAACCCCACAAATACAGAGATGATAGAGGAAGGGCGTGATCAAATCGTTTTGCAAGATTAATGCTTAAATTGTTGGTTTTTCTAAATACTGTCCTTGCGATTGTCGGTCTCCAAACCGCGTCGAAATCATGAAGATTCTTCTTGCTTTCCTATACTGTTTTTGTTTGATTATGGTGATTGGCCTGCAACTGGCTGCGGCCGGCCCATTGGGGCGGTCCTATGGAGACGACAGTTATTCCGGTGGCATGGGCGGCCATCACTATGATGTCGGAATGGGAGGGTTTCGTTCTGGCTGGACACCGGGATCGTATGGTATGGGCAGCTATGGATTGCCCTTTGCCGGCAACCTGCCGGGATTCGGGTGCGTACGGTGTTTATGTTTCTGGCGCTAATGATGTTCGGGAGAAGTGTTTGACAGTTGTGCGTCACTTTGATTGCAGCATTCTGGGATTGCTGGGACCGTATGCATTTGGGCCGTTTTTCGGCTGATCGGACGATATTTGTTACGTTTCCAACCCAGCAGCCTGCAGCGTGGCGTGATTTATTTGTCTGTGGTCTTCTGTTTTTTCCCGCTTTTTCGTCCGTTGTATTGCACTTGCACTTGTTTGCTTATCGATACAATGGTCACTCAAGGCATGATTCTACGCAGCTGATTGGAAAATGCTGACTAGCACTACCGGCATTTTTGTGTCGCCATGCATGCTTCCATTGCAAAAGAATTTGTTGCAGACTGACAGCGTGCATAAATTTTAACTTGGTTTAGTACATAAATAAAACAGTATTCCAACAGTTATTTTATTATGAATAATATCACTGAGCTTTCGTAAAAATAATGGTTTTGGGGAAGGCGGAAGTTGATGGTAACTGATAAGCAAACCGTTCCCGCGATAGTTAATATCATTAAAGCTGCGCCCAACATTATATTTTTTATAGCGCAATAGTAATTTATAAAGTATTATAAAAAAAAGCGCAATATTAGAAAAGAAGTTTATGACTTTGTAGTTGCTTGCTTAAAGAATCCACTTTAACAGCGTAAGCGTCTAGCCGCGTCGTGCCACGCCTGTTCGCCAATCTGGTTGCCCTGTTCGTCCACACACCAGGCGGTCATCCAGGCTTGTTGTTGTCGCTCAAATTTTCCATTACTGTCACATGATGGAACCCAAGCGTCCGCCACCAAAGCAAAAAATTCCAATTAACATTACTATTTCGAGGCGAATACATATTAATTATGTATGTCATATCAGGATGACCCTGTGATGATAATTTAAACCGCTCCAATGCACTCATCTTACTCTGTCTGGCTATTTCCTGCTGCTGTGCCTCCTGGCAAGTGCAATTTCCTATGTTGCGTTTAGGAGTCTGAAAAATGTCGAAGCAGGTGTCACGTCCAGCAGCGCAGTCCGCTGAAGCGAGCATCAGTGAGATCGTAAGAATGACGGCGATCGGGTCGAGTAATGCCATGGAGGAAATTTAGGGATGGGAAATAGATTAGCGAAAAATCGATAGAATGCGATGGGGACTGCCAGTAAAAAATTTATGCGGGTGTGCCAAAACGGGGCTGCAAAGGTTTTATGGACGTGGGCCACGTGGCGCTGCAGTAACTGTACTTGTACAAGTGCACGGAATTATCGCGGCTCAGAATCAACGATACGCTAGAGCGATAAACATCAGATCACTCAAGTGTAAACACTAAGCAGGTGCTGCATACTCGTATAATGCTAACGCTGAATCGTAACATCAATACTTGAAAACAAGCTCAAACCGACAGTGATGCGAGACCAACCGACAACCACGCACACAGGCAAATTATTTTTTCACATAACAGCCACCCGTGAAAGGGAGGTATCGTTTGCACTGTATGCGTGGAACAGGTGACAGCCATCCGTGGATGGTTGGCAGTCGCTTGCACTATATGCACGGTTGTCGGTTGGTCTCGCTGAAAAAATTTACTGTCGGTTTGACTGCGTGCATCCTCGTACTGTGATTACATAGAGGTACTGCCATCGGGTAAACACAATAAATAATTACAACGAATACGGTCCTTCTATCTCAAAACTCAAAACGATGGATGATGCTTACAAAAAAATGTTGCAAAATATAATCACGCACATAATTCGGTCTCATGATTTGTGCAGCATGTTTTCGCTTTACAGTGTACACTGTACAGTGCTTTACAGGTTCTAACTGAAATATTTTACTCATCAAATTCAAAAGCCTACGCACATCGCGTCATTTCAGCTCAGCTCGTAGTCTCATACGCTACAAGGTCATCGAAAGTCTAGCAAAAAACTCTGCACAAGACTTTTACCACACGCCGAGATTATGCCATTTCTGAATGAACCAAGAAGACCACGACCATTCCAAAGAATACTATTTTTACCATTTACGCGCGGCATTTTCCTCATAATATGTTCTCTCTCACCCAATACAAGCACACTGTATTTACTCGATTCCTGCAGGAAGCTCAGCAGTCACTTGAGCTTGCAGTCTCAAAGAGAAGTCAGAGGGGTTGGCGTACCCTTTCGCCGGGTCCAGTAGGTCCTGGAAATATAAAGTTACATCTACAATGCCGAATGCGTACTTAATCAAAACTTTTTCCTCACCTCGACAGAGATGTATTTCTCATATCCCCAAGAACAGTGGTCCCTGCTGAACAACTGGGAGAACTCAATAAAATTTTGAAGATAACCTTTGTAACTTCATAATCAGGATTTATCATAGGTGGAAATACGTAACCGTACACCGATGCATGCAAGCCTACGAGGAGGCGAACAATCGGGCCGGTAGAGGTTCAGTGTGTTAAGACACGCTGGCCAGCAATTTCGTAAAAGGTAGTCTATCGGTCGAGCTAACAGTCAACCGTGTACGGTTGCACTATCCAACAACTGCAAAATGCAACCATCCACGGTGGACTGTTGAGTAGATTTTCGATGTGCATGGACAACATGTTAGGCAGAGGCTTAAGAGTTATTAAGACTACTGCCATGACACCATGAATTCGGTACCGGCTGACTTGAATCCACGAACCTCTCTTAATTGGTACAGTTTCCGTTTTCCACGGCAAAAGGCGCAGCTCTGTAGTAGTCTGGCACATCCAAGAGGCCGAAGAACCAGAACACCGCACGTAGAAGCCCAAAGCAGCGAGCTTACCCTCAGCTTCTTTCTGAACCTGTATACACCTGCAAGTAAATACGTCAAGCTTCGAATAACTTATTCTTCCGGGATGGTTTCTCCCACCAAAGCAGCTTTCTGACTGCTACTGGATCGCTGAAGGTAGACGCCTTCAATAGCTCCCTGACATCCGGAATCGTAAAATTAATGGTACCTGTCGTGGCGTGATAATAAATGTACTTTTATTATCGAACGCAGGTCGCTGACTGACTGTCAGCAAAAACCAAAACATTGACTCGTATACATAACGTTGCTATGCAGAAAGGTCATGTGTATACACACATATATCTGACACCTCCCCCAGTGGGGAAACCCACTCAACCAAAGCCAAAAATAAAATTAGCGTCCGAATTTCGGATCCGCGATCAGTCGATCCGGTTCTTTTCGGTCTCTTCCGCTTCGTCGCACTTCTGCTTCTGGCGGCTTCAGTTGGGAACTGGTATCGGTTTTCGCTTCAGGAACGCGTGGCGTTTTCTTAGCATTCTTCGTATTCGCTGGCTTCACTGGTTTGGCGCTATCGACAGACGGTAATGTAAGTTCAGGTGTTTTACCAGTACCGATCTGTCCACCAGCATCCTGCTTTGTGATCGCTTCCGGAATGACATCGTTAGGCAGTGCCGTCTGCGCAGGCGCTGCTGGCGATGCGAGTGGTACTTTCGGTACATCCGGTGCCTTCAGTGCGGCAGGTACGACAGGTACAGCTGGTGGATTCGGTAACGCACGCTCGTCTGGGTGCAGCCAGTGCCTCGGTCGCATCTGGTTTTCATGCCTTCGCAGGTCCGTTCCGTTGACCAGGACAACCCAGATGCGTGTACCTTCACGTTTGACCAGCTGTCCACGCTGCCAGTCAACTGCACGGTTCGGACGGTAATCACGTACCATTACGTATTCACCAACTAGGAAATGCTTCTCCTTTGTTCGTTGCCCTAAATTTTGCTGGTAACGCTTCCGGTTACGCTCCACTGTTGTCATCAGGACAGGCACCAGCAAGTCCGGCTGACCACGCAGCTTGCGGCTCAGAAACAATTCGGCTGGGGACTTGCCAGTTGTGGCCTGTGGCGCGTTGCGGTACCGGAACAGGAATTCCCGCAGAGCTGTGGGCAGTGACTTCCGGTCGGCCATCAGCTTGCTGATTCCGTCCTTAAAGGTTTGGACGTAGCGCTCCGCCTGACCGTTTGACTGTGGATGGCCAGGTGGTGTCCGCAGATGTCGAATGCCGTGTACCCTGCAGAAATCTGCAAATTCCTGCGATGTAAACTGCGTACCGTTATCGGTAACGATTTCGGTACAGGCTCCGTAACGGCTAAACAGATTCAGGAGGGCGCCGTCGGACGTGGCATGTTTCATCTGGATAACCTCCGGCCACTTCGACATGGCGTCCACAATCACTAGCAGCATTGTGCCGTGAAATGGACCGGCGAAATCCATGTGGAGCCGCTTCCAAGGTGCATCCGGCACTTCCCACTGTGCCAGCGGGACTTTGGCCGTTTCCTTCGCACGTTCAGTGCAGATTCGGCATTCACTGGACATTCGTTCGATGTCCTTGTCCATGTTGGGCCGCCAGCAGTATCCTCGTGCTTCACCCTTCATCTTTCCCGCCCCCATGTGGGCGCTGTGAAGAAAATCCAGGATCTGCTGCCGGTGTTTCGATGGCACGACGGTCCGGGATCCGCAGCATACACAGCCGTTGATAGGGACGAGCTCGTGCTCAAGTCGCTTGTAGGGACGCGATAGGGCATCAACCGTCGACGGCCAGCCGTTCATGATGTATCCATACACGGTGGACAGTTCCGGATCTCTGGCTGTTTCCTCGGCGATCGCTTCCACCGAGACTGGGAAACGGGACACGTTGTCGACGTGGACAGAGTTGACCACACTGTCCATCCCCAAGCCGGGCAGGCCATCCAGCTGCGTCGAATGCAGTGGCAGGCGGCTCAGTCCGTCAGCTTGGCCAAACTCCTCGGTGCGGCGGTACTCGATGCTGAACGAATATCCCATCAACATCAGCGCCCACCGTTGAAGGCGGTTTGCAATCACCACCGGCACTCCTTTCCGTTGGCCAAACACACTGAGCAACGGTTTGTGGTCAGTGCACAAAGTGAACTCGCGTCCCACGATATACTGATGGAACTTCCGGCACCCAAACACCAGTGCCAGTGCCTCTTTTTCTAGCTGGCCGTAGTTCTTTTCGGCGGCTGTGAGCGTCTTCGAGGCGTGCGCGATTGGTCGTTCCGTGCCGTCCGGAAACCGGTGGCAGATCACGGCGCCAACGCCGTATTGTGACGCGTCCGCGGCGAGGACCAGCGGCATCCGCGGGTCGTAATGAACCAGGAATTCCGCGCGGACAATCTGCTCCTTTAAAGAAGGGAACTGCGTCTCGCAGTCCTTTTACCAGGACCACGGGACTCCGGCCTTGAGGAGGTTGTGGAATGGCGCACACTTCCCGGACAGGTTGCGAACGAACTTCCCGTAATGGTTGACCAGACCCAGGAACGCTCGGAGTTCGCTGATGTTGGTCGGCCGGGCCATATCGCGGAGTGCCTTGACGCGGTCCCGGGAAATGTGGCGACCTCGGTGGTCCACCACGAACCCCAGGTACTCCACGGAGTCCTGAAGGAAGAAGCATTTACTGCGCTTTAGCGTGAACCCGTGCTCTTCCAGGCGTTGGAGGACCTTCTCCAGGTTGCGGAGGTGCTCCTCTTCCGTCGTCCCGGTAACGATGATGTCGTCGAGGTAAATGGCGACACCCTCGCATCCCTAGAGGACGCTTTCCATGATCTGCTGGAACACGGAGGGACCGCAGGCGACACCGAAGGGGAGTCGGTTGTACCGGAACAACCCCTTGTGGGTGTTTATTACCACCAGGTTCTTGCTCTCCTCATCGAGCTCCACCTGGGCGTACGCTTCCGCCAGATCCAACGTACTGAACTGCTTTCCTCCGTTCAGTTTCACAGACAGCTCATCGGGCGTCGGCAGTGGGTACTGCTGGACGTCGAGAGCGTCGCTGAGTCCCGTGCTAAGGTCGGCACAGGTGCGGATGTCTCCAGCCCGTTTCTGCGCCGTCACCACTGGAGCTGCCCAGTCGGCCCGTTCCACTGGTGTAAGGATGCCCCTCTCCACCAGGCGATCCAGGTCGCGCTCCAGTGCTTCGCGAAAGGCAAATGGGACTGGTCAAGCTTTCCGGGATACAGGCGTCACGCCTGGCTTCAAGTGCAGGTGAGCCTTGTAATGTTTGCAATGGCCCAGTTCGTCACGGAAACCTGCACTGTGCTTTTTCAGCAGCTGTTCCGCCTCCAGTGTGCCGGAAACTGTAGACACCATGGTCGACTGCAAATCCCGCAGACTCAGTCGGCTGAGATCCAAGGCGCGGATCCAGTCTCTACCCAGCACGTTTCCACCAGTTGCCACCACCACAACCGGCAGTGCCTTGCGAGTGCGTGCGTGGGCGACTTCCACGGTTGCAGTACCGATAACCTTTAGTGTGTGCCCCGTGAAGCTCCGCAGAGTATTCATATACGGTGACAGCTTCGGGGATCCGATTGATCGCCACGTGTCGGCCGTAATAATCGTCACGCTGGATCCTGTATCCAGTACGGGCGACACAGGCACGCCATCCAGCTTTACTGGTACATGGATGGATCGTCCCCCCGTTGTGTCCACTGATAAGACGTCAAATTCCTCTTCCACGAGGAATGTCCGTCGTCCGTCTCTTCGCTGCTGGGTTGCAGGTTGCTTCCCGCTTCGACACACTTTCGCAATATGACCCTTTCTTCCACAGTTTTTACATGCTAGCTCCTTCGCCCAGCACTCCGCTCGGACATGTTGGCTAGAGCCGCAGCCATTGCACACGCTTCCAGTACTACCACTAGTTGCGGGCTGCCTGTCCGGACCAGCGCCGCGCCGCTGCTGTCCGCCTCGGCCGCCGCCGCGGTTTCTTCCTCGTGCGCCGCCGCCACGGCGTGCATTGTCCACGCGAGCCACATCAGGCGCCGTACTGCCCTTCTTGTTGCACCTCCGGAGCTCGTACTCCTCGCAGATCTCCAGAGCCTTCTCCAGAGTGGTGTAGGTCTGGGATTGCAGGTGTTGGCGTGTAGCGTCGCTTGTGATTCCGTTCAGAAAGGTCGCCGACATATTCTTCTCAAGTACGTCGGCTGGGAAACCGCAGGGAAATGCCTTTCGCCGCAGTCGATTTGCAAAATCCAGCAAGGTCTCGCCGGACTCTTGCTGCAGCTTGAAGTAGTTCGCCCACTCGGTGGCGGCGTTCGTTTTGTTCACGTAGGCATGCTCGAGCTTGTCCACCAGCTGCGCAATTGTGAAATTATCGGGATCAGTAGGTAAACACATGGAGAAAAGCATTTCCCCCGCATCGATCCCGAGTGAATCCAGCAGCAAACACTTCTGGTCTTCCAGGTCATTGATTTTCCGTAGCTTCACGTAATTCCTGTATTGGAATTGCCACCACCGCCATGTCATCTTCGCGGGTTCAAACTTGATCAGCCCGGATCCAGTCTTCTCGCTGGACGTCGTGGGCGCTGATGGCGAAGTAGGCGATGCAGGCGTTGTCGACGCCGTGGTCGACATTGTGTGTGTAAGGAATCAGACCGCGTGAGGTCGTGTGGCCTTCACGCCAGTTTGTCGTGGCGTGATAATAAATGTACTTTTATTATCGAACGCAGGTCGCTGACTGACTGTCAGCAAAAACCAAAACATTGACTCGTATACATAACGTTGCTATGCAGAAAGGTCATGTGTATACACACATATATCTGACAGTACCCTTTGTGCGAATATCTAAAATTACATAACAATTACTACAACCTGGCAAAAACGTTCAGCAAAGGCAACAGCGCGCTAACTTTGTCGGGGTTCTGTTCGGAACGGCAGCTGTGGTTTGATGGTGGCGTACTTGTAGTGGTAGATATCCAGTACTTCCGATTGCAACAACAAACCGCTCTGAATAATAAAAACACGACATTTCACCCAACACTGTTAGATTTGCTTCGGCGGCTCAAAGGGGCCAAAACTCGATTGAATTGTATCGTCAGCAAGATTGCTGATTTAAAGAAAAAACAGATGTACGATTCAAACTCTTGAACGAGGAGTTATTTGATTGAGTCTGTAACGCGTTTGTCCCTGTGAAACTGCGAGTGGAACTGGCTGAAAATTTCTGACGAAGGTTGACGTAAGTCAGCCTTTAAAGATTGACATAAGTCAACGTAAGTCGACATGGTTACTAACCACGGACCCACGATCAGTCATAACGCACTGCCACCAACCACGGTTGACCGTTACGCAGCGCAAATTAGTGCAGCTATCCACGGTGGACTGTTTGGTTGACAACTTGGCAGTCAGCTCAACTAACAGCAACATAAATGCCAGAATGCGGTGGCGACTCAATGAAATACGTAGCTCCTCGTACAGCTCGTACCTTCACCGGTCCGTCCAGCAGCAGATTATCCGTTAAGATAGGAAATCGAATGAGAAACAATTCCTGGCCCAACATTTCACGTCGATTGGCGGAAGAAGCACTCATGTTTTTCCGAATGCACATATCTGCAGCCCACCTATCCAAAGACGGCTGAGAAATGTTCAAGCTTAACAATAATTATTGTAAGCAGAGGTCGGGCCCATACTGGGTTTACCTGTCAGCAGATGAACAAATGATATCTTCATTGGCGGTCAACGTATCCCGTTGGAGAATGGCTCATAGAGCTTCTTGCCCGATTGTATAGAACTGCTTCGACTTCCAAATAGTTACAGCTGATTCATCAATCAGACGAACACTTTTCAAGGATAATCGGCGCAGCAGCTGCAAAATGCACGGCCTAGAAAACACAATTCCGCAATCACGTCAATATAACATAAACCACCGAGAAAACCTACGTCGTCCAGTATATGCAGGCAATTGTTGACGTTGAGCGTATTCAGGACGAAATCCGTACAAAAGGTGATCAGCGTCGCTAAGTCGTACTTATCAGCGCACTTTAACGTGTCGAAGACGTTGTCCTGGGTGAAGTTGGTCACCTTGTCGGTATACATGTAGCTACACGACATAATGGATTAACATCTGTCGTATTTACTGAAGAGGGCGATAAAAAATACCGTAACGTTCAGCACACCTGAGCATGTTAGCAAAGGCATCGGGAAGAATGTCAGGAATTTCGAAGGGGGTTGTGTACTTATCTGGTAGACTTCCATAGAACATCTGATGGAACACAGTACTGCGAACGCCCATGACGAATCTGAAAACAGACAAATAGGCACTGAGCCAAACGAATTTTTTTGATTATTAATGAGCATTTAGATCAGAGTGCGCGAGAATCGAGAGTTACTTGTGAGCTGGAAAGATGCTAACGGTGCCATGATCTCCTCCCACCGCGAACTTGACGTCGCTCATATCTTCACACAGTAACAGATGCTTTGCACAATGTGCAATGCACATTCGCCAAGCTTCGCAACATCGGCGCGTCTGCCTTCGTCCAAGGACTGTGTGGAACTTTGAGACATAACGGATAACTCCACCGGGATTGCAATAGAATGTGAGGACGACTGCAGCTCGACGCAGGTAAAGCAGTTATTTTAGACAGTCAAGCTTGAAGGCGGAAGCTTTGAAAATCTAAATGCTAATTTTCCTATTCGATCTTGAAATCTAGAAAAAATGACCAGCGAAAACGTGAAACAAAAATGTATGTAAATAAGTAAATTTAGCACATGTGACATATCGGTGCAGTGTAATATTGTGCTAGTAACTGAAAGCAGCGTGCTTGGGCTTTGGTCTTCGGAGTTCATCTTACTGGTGACGGTGGTGAGTCACCGTGAGTGGTGAGTCGTGACACGTGCACTGCCACTCACCAGCCTAAAGTGTAAGTCGGTTCTAAGACTCTATTAAATCTTCCAAATTGCGGTGATGAAATTAATTTTATGCAATAGTAATATTATTGTTAATAATAGTGTCAAGTTTGTGGTTAAATGTACTGTACTACCACGCGCACTACAGATAATTTAAATAATTATTACCTATATTATTGACTGCTCATTCGTTATTGGTGCAGCGTTCTGTAGCAGGTATTTGTGAATTGTGAGGGCGAGCACAGTTTCTGGATTTCTACTTTCTGTATCGACAATATTGATACATTTAAAACCGCTCACAATTTGTAACGAATCCGATATAGTAAAATAATACCGGTCAGCTATACACGGAAAGGATAATTAAATACCAAGTACATATTAAGTACAAGATCTATACTACGCGCGGCGCCCCATAGTTTTGAGATCTCTATAACCATAAAACTTCTGGAAAAACGGACAACGCCATTAGATCCGGGATAGTTCAGAAGTGGCCGGCATGTGTTTTTTTATGAAAATATCGAGCCGGCATCAAGCCGGCATCAAGACCAGATTGATCCAACCCATCTTAAAGGTCACCTTGAAACTTAGAAATATTTGCTTAGATACAAAAATACCAATTGACATAATTATCACACTAATTAAACCGAAAAATAAATAAATTATTGTATTTATTCAAACACTCGCGTTATTCAAACACTGCTGTCGGTGTTGCCGAGCTTGAAACACGTTTAAAATCAACCGATATACGAGGTAAAATGTAAAAATACCAAATATAAAATCAATACCAAAAATCACTGGACGAGTGAGTGACCGGAACACTATCACCGACCACTGAGCGGAATCTCTAGATGAGTGGGTGACCGAGCTACCACCACTGACCAGTAAGAAAAATCACTAGACAAGTGAGTGACCGAAACACCATTACTGCCCACTGAGCGGAATTTCTAGGTGAGTGAGTCATCGAGCAGGCTTTGATCTTGCTCACCTAACGGGCTCTGTGCACTGGACAGTAGTTGTAGCAGGGTCACATCCTCACCTAGCGATTTTTCTCCTTACCTAGCGATATTTCTTACTGGACAGGTTGAGCTCGGTCAGTCACTCACCTAGTGATTGAGTGCGTCAAAAAATCGCTAGGTGAGTACGTGACCGAGCTACCACCAAAGTCCAGTGCCCAGAACCCGTTAGGCGAAAGAGTACCTAGATACCACTACTGTCCAGTGCACAAACTCCGTTAAGTGATCTAGTGACCGAGCTACCACTACTGTCCAGTGCATAGATCCCGTTAAGAAGATGGGTGACCGAGCTACCAATACTGCCCAGCGCACAGAGCCCGTTAGGTGAACGCGTGACCGAGCTAACACTACTGTCTAGTGCACGAACTCCGTTAAGTGATCTAGTGACCGAGCTACAACTACTGTCCAGTGCATAGATCCCGTTAGGTAGATGGGTGACCGAGCTACCAATACTGTCCAGTGCATAGATCCCGTTAGATAGTTGGGTGACCGAGCTACCAATACTGTCCAGTGCACAGCCCGTTAGGTGAACGCGTGACCGAGCTACCACTACTGTCCAGTGCACGAACTCCGTTAAGTGATCTAGTGACCGAGCTACAACTACTGTCCAGTGCATAGATCCCGTTAGGTAGATGGGTGACCGAGCTACCAATACTGTCCAGTGCACAGAGCCCGTTAGGTGAACGCGTGACCGAGCTACCACTACTGTCCAGTGCACGAACTCCGTTAAGTGATCTAGTGACCGAGCTACAACTACTGTCCAGTGCGTAGATCCCGTTAGATAGTGGATGACCGAGCTACCAATACTGTCCAGTGCATAGATCCCGTTAGATAGTTGGGTGACCGAGCTACCAATACTGTCCAGTGCACAGAGCCCGTTAGGTGAACGCGTGACCGAGCTACCACTACTGTCCAGTGCACGAACTCCGTTAAGTGATCTAGTGACCGAGCTACAACTACTGTCCAGTGCATAGATCCCGTTAGGTAGATGGGTGACCGAGCTACCAATACTGTCCAGTGCAAAGATCCCGTTAGGTAGATGGGTGACCGAGCTACCAATACTGTCCAGTGCATAGATCCCGTTAGGTAGTTGGGTGACCGAGCTACCAATACTGTCCAGTGCATAGATCCCGTTAGATAGTGGATGACCGAGCTACCAATACTGTCCAGTGCACAGAGCCCGTTAGGTGAACGCGTGACCGAGCTACCACTACTGTCCAGTGCACGAACTCCGTTAAGTGATCTGGTGACCGAGCTACCACTACTGTCCAGTGCATAGATCCCGTTAGGTAGTTGGGTGACCGAGCTACCAAAGCTATCCAGTGCACAGAGCCCGTTAGGTGAACGTATGACCAAACTCCAATATTACTGAGCAAAATTGAGCAGGGCCTGCTAAGTTCTTAATGGGTGACCTATCTAGCACCACTGTCCAGTCTTAGCGTCATTTTAGTTTGTAATGTGATACTCTCGTGGGTGATTAGATTCGGATTGTTTTTCGCTAAGAAAATTTAACAAAAAAATGATCTGTAAAGTCAAAGTAATTGCGTTCGACTGTACGAAACCAAAACATCCAATTTTTTATAAAATTTTTGTTATCGGGCTCTTCAGATTTATCCGTTCTAAGCCAACAATCCGTAAACCGGCCAAGGAGTTTAGAACCCAAGAAACGCAGAGGCGAAGCCGAGGCTGTTTCTTGTAAAATAATAACAGGGATCTCTTAGTACAACAGAATGTTAAGATCTCTTGAGTAATCTTTAGTAACACAATCTCTTAGTACAACTCAAGGTTAGTACAACGTAATTGCTAACCAATGTTATTGCAATAATGCAATTACAATAATCTGACCAACGTTGACCTTTGTACGCACATTCAGCTGTAATCGCACGCTACAGTGACTACACAGGCATTAGGCAATATCCATCAAAATGACAAAAGAGCAAGCGCGGGCACGCTATTAATTTTTACAGTTTAATTTAAACATCATAAAACAACCAAAATCGCTTTCTTCTTGTTAGTTAAAAGGTAACGTACTTAACATAGCCGATGCGTTAATTATTTAGTTACTCAATTAATTAGTATCAAAATTTTTGTTTATTAGTGGGCGAACCGGTACGAGTAACGGAAGCGTGCAGATACCCGCAGTTGACTGCATTCAACCTGAACGGAGCCTTTAATAAGTATCGAAGTAAAAGTACAAACTAAAGTACCAGAACGGATGAAGGATGGTGGAAATCAATGAGACCAAACCATTACAGCTCCTTGGGGGCAAATGCCCACTCACGCACCCCGATGTTAGGGGGCCAGTTATCGGGGGTGAACATTTTTTCGGTTTCACTAGCGTAAGAACCAACACGTGCTAACAGACTATTCTTACGGCCGTTTTAGCAGAATAGATCGAAACAAATCTCACAGAGATTCCAATAGATTCAATAATTGCCTTGAGATCCTTGCTGTACTCGTCGAGAGTCTGGTGTTCGGTCTGCTCCCGAGGGGGGATGCCATGTAGACAAAGTCCTTTTCACCTTCTCTTTCTCAGCTCTGGGGGCTCGCCGGATCTGCAGGGCAGACATGACGATGTCCTCGCTGGCGCTGGTGGTTTTTTTCGCGTGCCACGGACCACTTTTCCTTTTAGCTACGGTGGCCCAGGATGCTTTCGAGTCCGAAGCGTCAGGGGGGGTTTCATCAAAGCGCGGTTGGGGACTTTCATGTCAGGGGTTGTGTGTGGCTCGTGTGGGGTATCGGTGGTGGAGGGTTTCTCCACAGGCGTCTTGGCAGGAGTCTTGGCGACCGATCGAAACCCGGAGGGTTGGAGTACTAATCGGCCGACATCGACGGTGCTCATGGAGGTACAGGCTGCGCCGTTTTTACGGCATTGATTTCGTCCTGAGAACCAGTAGCGACATGGAGATGTCATCATACTTTTCTGACGTTCTTGTAGCTCTTTCCTTGGGCTTCCAATGAAAGCTCTGCTTTCAATCTTTGGTTTTCTTGCACGATCGGTGAGATCAGCGCAGGAACTTGAGTATCGATACACTTGGTGATGAGGCCGTTGAGATCCTCGTGGTAGACTGGGTATTTCTGTACGTTCTCAGATCACTGGCAATGGCCGGAATCATCTTTCGTATCAAGGGTATCAGCCTTCCGAAGGACCATTGATCTTTGGCCGTTCCATCAGGGAATAGGCTAGAGAGTTTCTCGATGGAAAAAGGCTCATAATTATCTTCAGCATCATGGGTATTATCGCTGGCTTTCTCAGCCATGTTTGCCAAACTGACCACAAGCGATGGCCCCACAATCAGGTTTTAAAATTAAGTCACATAATATAAAATAATCAAGGTAAATTATTTAGTTGGTGAAAATTTAGTAGTCAAAACTCTTCCGCTTTGGCGTTCGAAGCATCTTTTTGTATTTGTTAAAGTGATTGATCGCCGTACTTACTCGCCGTTAAAAACCTTGGTAGAACCTTCAACCTTGGTAGAACTAGTGACGGCTTAGTAAAATGTGACTGCCTCTCGTAAATACTAAGAAATATCGCCACGATTTTGAAATATTTGGCCATACAGCGGCTGCAAAATAAATAGAGTTGTGATGAGAAATTGTTAATGGTAAGTTGGAAAAACATTTAACCACAGACAGTTACAACTTAAAAACTTATACGAGGTTGTACGGAAAACGGATACTTCGCCATTCGACCCATTCCACAATCATGCTATTACGAGCGGCTAACAGTAAGTACATGTGCACCTTACTGCTCCAGGCACAAAACAATCACTAGGAAAACTGCAAAATCATGCCATCTACTTTGCAACTACTTTTAATAATTAATACTACACGTACAATTTGTCTTCTTTTGATTACACACCATTGGCGTTTTAAACATGTTCATCCTACTAGAGCATCTGACTTTACCGTGGTAGTGACGTGAATTTCAGTGATCATCCATGGCAGTGACAGCTGTTACTAGTGTTGCCGAACGAAAATATTTTCGTATTCGTTATCGTAACGCATACGAAATCAACGTGACTTTTCGTTATCGTAATGAAAACGAAAAGTCCCCGACTTTCAGTTTTCGTTACGATAACGAAAATTATACGAAATCGTATACAAAAAAGTTTTCGTAACGAACGGCAACACTACTGTTTACGTCGAGACACCATTTGGTCCCTGCATTAATGCAAGTTGCAGTACTCGTAGTATTAGGCCTCGTCCCGAATTCAAAGCGAATCTCGTAGCGATACAGCAACTCCACCTCGCGAGGTGGCTTCGCGTAGCGTATCTGTAGGCGTGGCCACTGCATACAGCCACCTCGTGCGGTTAAGCAACCGTACCATAGCGAGATTCGCTTGAATTCGGGACAAGGCCTTAGTCTCAGCCAAATCCTTCCCACGTTGCGTAATGGGTGCATTCGTGGTCACCACAATTGTTTGCATCGTGTGCCTTTGGATCATTGCACAAGAGCTGCCGAGTGGTGCGAACCCTAAGAAGTGTCAGCAAATTGAGCTTTTGCTAAAATCAGCAATTTTATTTCAGACTGGGAAAATTTATTGATCCAGAGATATTTCAGACCACGCTGCGAAAACACTGGAACTGGAACTCTAAAAGTAGTCTACTAGAAGGAGATGTTGCTGGATTGAATGAAATTCTATCTCATAATGTACAGAGCACGATTAGTTTTACTGTTTACGTAATTACCGTAATTTAGTGACTACCCCAAATATTTTTTCGGCAAACATAGTAATTAGTGAAAACAAATAAGCTAGAGTAGTGTGTAGTGACAGTTACGACTAGTTTGCTTTCTACCGCTTTTATTTCAAACCATCGCTTAAACACGTGTTAAAGAAACATTTATAAAAACAACAGCTCATTAAACATTTCGGCTTTCTCCACCGTGCCCATAACAGAAACAGCGTTACCACGGTGAATCTCTAAAAACAGTCGTTGCCGTTTGCTTTCAAATAGCCGCTCCAACTTATTATAACCCATCCCCCATGCCGGATAGACGGTGGCGTATCAACTACACCGCAGTCAAATTTTTGAGTATGCTATAAGCAGAATTTGAATTTAGTTCTTCTGATCGGTAGGGTCACATGGAACATGACATGATCAAAGGCAATAAAGCTTTGTGGTCCGATGGACGCGTCCCATACGTGATCAGCGACAACTTTGGTTTTCGCATAAGCAGATGCAAGCATATGACAGCTTCATGACAACAGTTATCCACAACAAACAATTTTGAATGAACATGCTCGTACTCTCGTACTCGCTTTTTGTGTAATGACTGAGGTTTGCAACGCATTTGTAGAACCCGAGGAGCAAGGGATGATTACTAACGCCATGGTGAACATGACAGCGGAAACCGGCGATACATGCATGCACCACGTTCATCAGCCACACGGACGAAGAGCACTTTATTCACTTTTCACGTGGCACACAGTAAGTTAGTCGTGATTGGCCTTTTTATCTTCGGTTATTGCAGTTCTTTCATTGCAGATGCCAGTCATATGTTGGCCGCCAGTCGGGATCGCAATAGAGAATTGAATTGGCTCCAGAGTGCTTCACCGAGTTAGGCGTCATCCAGCACGAGATCATGCACGCTCTGGGGTTTTTTCATGCGATGTCTCGCAATGACCGCGACGAACATCTGACCATAATGTGGGACAACATAGAAAGCGGTAGCGTGATAAGCCGCAAATTTTAAGCGCTTTGATACCGGTAATAAAATCATCGATGTGTGAGATCGATGACATCGATTTTAGGCAATCGCGATCAGTTCGCGCAGTACCGCGGGGACATGCAGGGCTTGCCATACGACTACGAATCTGACACAACAGTTAGTCCTACTGCTACTTCGGAAGTGACCGTATCGGTGGACGAATCTGATATTACAACTGGTATTTCGCCGACGGAAGAATCCACAGAACTTGACACTACAACAACCGAAAATTCAGAATCCACTCCACCGGAGACGGCCACTGCTGCATCGGAACAGATCGAGGTGACCACAGAACAGGCTACCACAAGGTCCACAACGGCAGACGATCCTGAGCCCCGGGCAACGGATGCAACTACGGGCACGCGTCTTGCGTCCTTAATTGTTTTATTAGCCGGTGCTAATTCTCAAAGCAGGTCTAGCGTCAGTTTTAGCTATGCTTCCGACGGTTCACAGTCCCTTGTCAGTGTTTATACACCTGTGGCACGTTTCGTACCAAAGAAAAAAAGTGAATCGTTTTTTCTCTCCTTGTAGTCACAGTAGACATCTGTATACATGCTGTAGACACCTTGTAGACCTGTCGGTAGTCTTCTGGCTTCTTGGGATGTATACAGCGTGTCTACAACGGTGTCTACAGGTTGTCTACGGATGTCTACCGGTGTATGCAGGTAGCCCTTCTTAGGTTCAGTTCGATGCTCTTCCTGTATACACCGGTAGTCAGACACCACTGTAGCCCGTAGACACCACTGTAGACATACTGTAGTCACCTGGTTTCTTTGGTTTTCTTGGGATGTATCCAGGTTGTCTACGGGGTGTCTCCAGGTTGTCTACAGATGACTACTGTGACTACAAGACGGAAAAAAACGTTCCAGTTTTTTTCTTTGGTACGAAACGCTCCATATATAGTTTATCGAAGCTCTCAGTAAAAGCGTTTTTCCTACTCCGTTCGCTGACAAGACGCTCAGTCTTAAGTGTGCAGAATGCCATATTCTATAACTACGGTTATTTTGACGTTTTGATTTATGTAAGACAGTACGGATTACAGTTTTACAATCGTTAGCAAGAAAACGCCTGCATCAACCACGACAACTACGTCTAAAACCAACCGATCGCAGCCATGAACTTCAAAACAAAATTTATTACGATATATAATTACGTCAATCACATGCTTCGTGCTGAATCTGCAGACAATCGTACAGATTACAGATGCCATCAATCCCATGATCAAGGTTTCGTACTCTCCGTATCATATGAAAAGTAAACCTTGCTAAACCAAACGGTATGAATGCTGCACGGATCGGGATATCCTTACAATATCTTCCGTCGAGCTAATCCGCATCCTGATCGTCACCATTGTTGTTAGAAAACACGGCTCTTTGGAAAAAGTTAGCGCGATCACCGGAAGCGGGATAGACGTACGTATCATCTGAATAAAAAGCTCGTCCAATTGGCGAAGTTCCACTGCCGTTGCTTGCCAAAGCCGCACTCGTTCCCAGATCGGACACAGTGCTTCGTATCGTATTGGTATTGCATGGCAAGCCGAAACCCGGTATGCCTCCGTTGGATGGCAAGAAAAACTCTTGCATACTGTCCGGTATGTATCTGAACGAACTACAGGGACCAACGTGAATTTTCCTATTTTTATCAAACTCTGTTGGCTGGTTGCCGGGTTGGTTCCATGGTACGAAAGGCCCGCTTTGTGGAATCCAGCTAGGAAAGGTAATCGCGGGCTGCATGTTACGGGTGACGGTTGCAAAAGTTGCACTGGTCTCGGTAGCGTTTTCCGTGGTTCTCGACAGCGGCGTGGGCGTGGACGCACGAGCATCGTATTCCACCATGAGAAACTGCCTGCTAATTTTGTTGGCTCCATTTCGGCCTCGGTGGATCTTTGTACCGGTATCGGCGTGACATTCATCGTATCTGTTGCGAGTTTGATTACCGTTGGGTCTGTTATCGGTAACGGCGTCAAAGTCGCTAGCTGTGTGGAGTTTTCAACCGGCACTGATGTGACAGGCGTGGCACCTCCAATGCGCATCGGCGCCGGTAGCCGCGTGCTGGTCACTGCATTCACGGCCGCAGGGAACTCAGCTGCTGGCTCCCGTTCGCCCTTTTTGCTGGTCTCTGACATAACCACGGTCGTATTCGTGCCGGATGTGCCAGTGAGGAGTGGCGTGGCAGTGTCAGTAGCCACGGCTGTTTGGTCTGTAAAGACGTGATTATTTGGAAATGGTTCAACTTTTGCGATCGAATGTTTCGTCGGACAATATCCTCTGCGAATTCGCTCGACATCCAGGCGCGACAGACGTTTGCGTTGGCCAATGGGAGCCCCCAGTTTTTTCGGCAGAATTGTGGGTGTCGCCTTATTTACGGAGAAGGCATTGAACGGGTAGTGCATGATAGATTCATAGTCGTAATCAAGTCCTTGCATGTCGCCGCGATATTTCTCAAACTGGTCTCTCTCATCTGAGGAGGAATTAAAGAATTCCATTACCATCAAGTCAGATGTGTTGTATGGATGATCAACAATGTATACCTGGGATTATATTCTTTCGGATAATTGTAACGTATTCATCACGATCAAAACGCGACATTTCATGAAAAAATCCCAAAGCATGCATAATCTCATGCTGGATAGTCCCGATTTCCTGCACACAATCTGACGTCAGTACGATCGGTTGATCGCGCTGTCTGGAAGCAAACTGGCGACCGACTTTGGACTGGCAGTTACTACAAGCCGATACAAACCATTCAGCAGTCAGCACAAACAAAATTACAATAATAATTATTATTTTTGGCCTTTGGGTAGAAGTCAAGCTTGTATGTGGTTTCGGCGTACCCAAAAGTCGGATCCGTTTTGATGAAGCGGACGAAGTGCTGATCGTCGTCGGTGCGGGGAACAAACGTCACGCAGTCATTCCCCGTTTCCGCTGATAAGTTTACCATGGCGCTCTGGAGCAAAATATGCTCCGATTTATCTTTAATCAAACAAAAAGATTTCTGAGTTCCACATTACCGTTACAAGCCTACGGACAGGCAAGCCGTCCGAAGTAAAATCTGTCGGCACGTACATTCGTGTTTTATTTTTCAAAAATTTGATATGAGGTGACGCAAAAGTGAACGGCATTGTCGGAGTGGATTTTTAGCCGCCTCAAACGGGCGGCTAAAAACGGCGGCAATGACGTCGGGGTAAATTTTTGGGTACAGCCGTACCGAATTACCATATCGGCATACTTTTGCCTGTTACATTCGCATATTTCTGTACAATACTAGCTGCAGACGCGAACGTCTGAGACTAGCGAACTACAGTACCAAAGTTGGCACTGATTTCATAAGGCACGCGCCCGTCCGGCCAAAGTGAGTTCCTGGTTTCAACAAAATCCCGTTGGCCCTGAAGAACAACTGCCAATAAAACACGGTTTGCAAAAGCAGTAAAACATTATAAAAAGATTTTGTATACTTTTGTGCATATATTTCCACTACGTTTTTGAAATTAATGTATAAACCTTTTAAAACTGTTTGGTCGTGCACCTGTGACTGTGAGATGGAGCCCCTATCGATGCCGGAAATATCCCCTTCGAATAGTCCGCTTCCTGACGTCCACTGGGAACCGCTCTCCAACGATGATCGCAACACTTCCCGGTCAATATATTTTTGCCAGTCTGAAGCACAGCGGTGTATTCGAAAGGTACGGTAAACATTGTGCGAATAATCGAGAGTTTAATTTACCGTCTGGTAAATCTTGCGCCAAAGTTCCAAAGACCCATATCAGGCAGAGCTGCGTGACAAGAGCCGATCTTGCCATTACAACAGGCGCAGTGGCGCACTGTTCGTTTTAATTGAACAGTCTGAACTTGCACAAAGTCCAATTCATCAGAATAGTGTACTTGCTGTAACAGGAACTGCTGTTGGCTGAAACTGCCTGACAGCTGTTCAGTGTGCAGTCGAATAGCTGTGCACTGGTAAACACATTGCGCCATCAGTTCCAGTTTGTAATACCCGATAATCGGCATAATTATGCAGGAACCTGTTCCAAGACCGGTTGCAACTGCCATGGCGCAGTGGCGCACTGTTCGTTTTAATTGGGGTGAACTGAGTCGGGAAGATAGTACGCTACAACTTGCGGCCTGTGACAAAGTTTCCAGTCCGCTGTCGCCCACATTCATCAGCGAATAGTGTAAACTTGTGGAGTAGCTGTAACAGGAACTGCTACGTTGGCTGATTCCGGTTGCAACTGCCTGAGGAGGCTTTGACTACTAATTAAGCTGTTCAGTGTGCAAGTGTTGATAAAGGACGTGTAATAACACAGCACGCTGTGCAGGAAAATACTGCGTTTAATGACGCTTGAATGGTTTCAGAGCAGCCGCGCACAAATTATAAAAGCCGGAAAGCATGTACATTGTACAGTTTGTAAATACCGGCAGTTTTGGACACAGTAATACTTACGTTACGCCGGTTACGGTAATCGGCATCTGCTTAATTATGCCTAATACAGGCTTCGTTAATATATCGTACATCATTTGATAGTGTTCATGGTCACTATTTCCGAAACCGCAAGCACGTAATATTTCGGAAACTGAAAGTTAACATCATCTTGTTCTTGTTAATGTTCGTGCATTGAGTGACCTTCGTTTAAGGAAAGCAGTAATGTGTACCTTGGCGGAAGTTACGTGATGATATTCCTGTTTTGTGGTAGTGAGCGAGTAGTGAGATCCTGTTTGTGCACTGTTGTCTGCGGAAGTAGGCAACAGAGCAAAAACGATCTCCAGAGTTCCTTCTCTGCTGACTGCGATCAGGTAATTGGTATAGTATACGCATGCGCATATTATGATTATCAGTTCTCATAAAAATTTGGAACCTATTGACTTTTGAGTAGCCTTGTGACCGCGCATGTGCATTATCCCGCAGCACAGCTCGGTGCAATAAACCAAACTGCTCCACCAAAAAGGTCAATACGCGCTTTTATAATTTTTATAGCACTAATTTCATTTATTTTTTTATAACTTCCGTTTTCATTTTATAATTTTAGTTCGTTGGTCTACCAGTGAAGTAAAAAATGTAACGGCTAAAGATTTTGCTGAAAAAATTTACCTTCGCTTTACTTAACAGTAATCACGCGAAGTCACCGATTTACTACAAAATACAGTTATTGTATTAAGTAAAATTCTAGCGCAATATATCGGTGAATCAAAACACAATCTGTTCCTAAAAATGGCGCATGTGCAGCGCCGTCATTGTGTAAGTCAAGAGAGGTTGGTCATATTAATGGTTTATTAGGATCACGGTAAACATGCCGAAACAAAAGAATTACGGTACTCGTACCACCTAGATATAATAACGCATTATAAATCTGGTTTGCGTCAGAGATGTATTTATATCTGAGCACGTATATAATATACGGATTTACACACATCAATTATGACGCCGAAATGATACAGGACCATCCAGAATAAAAGGTTAATCGGTAAATATTGGACATGTGGTTTGTTTTGAGGTATCACCAGAGCTTTTAAATGATAGATACTTATTTACCAATGATACGAACTTTTCTTCTATTTTTCGTCACCGGTATATCTGTAGTATCCAGAAATCCGCTGGACTGCCAATAGCATTCGCGGGAGTCACACAGATAAAGAAAGCCATCGTCATACAGCCGTAACTCAGGGTTGTCATAGTTCGCCGAATCTGTTTTCGAAGACCACAGTGGCTTATTTTCCGCATTGTACATGACTAGATTGCCGTCCTCCCGCAATCGGATGCGGTTGATGAGTTCTCTTGCGGCTGCCCTGAAACTTATGCGATTGTCTGTGTGGCGCCACACCACCCACTGTTGCTTTTGGTAACGAAGCATTCCCGTCAGGAGATGTCCATCGGGAGAAATGGTCAAAGAATTATCCAAATCCAAATCGCTTCCCATTTTAAGTACCACTGGAAGGACCAAAATATTTCGAACGGTCATTTTTATTAGATTGTCGGGAATCACATTCTCGTTAGACTGCACAGTTTACCTCTATAACTGACAGATTCGGCTGGAGTAAGATTAAGCTGCCTACCACATTGCCACCCTTTTGTGCCGCAAGACCGCGAGGAACGCCAGTAGCATCCGGAATCATTACAGAGATAAAAGTAACCGTGATCCGACAGCAGCAATCTTGATTCCCCATACCCCCAGGTTTCGGTGGACTAGTACGATGTCTCCAACCGGTCACTGTTATTGAACGCTCCAAGAAGAAAATAACCATCGCTACCAAGTAAGGCGCGTAGCGGGGACAGTCCCACCGTCTCTGAGGCGAACACCGCACCGGCGTCGCACTCGCGGTACAGAACCAAGTTTTGGTCGGGCTGCAGGATCAGACGGTGTGTTCGCGACGGGGAATAGTAGCTGACGTTGGCTACCAGGAATTCACCAGACCGTAATATCACTGCAAAAATCCTTTTGTCATTGTTGCCACCTGCATGTATCTGCTACAGGTTTGAACATTTTGTTTTTACCGGTGCCATTTCCGTACGCCGCATCCCGCAGTTCGAATGCGCTTTTTTCAGGCAGTGCGATGGCTGGTGTTTGTTGACCTTTTAAAATAAAGTAAAAAGACAATTGTTCTGGTAAATCACTGTACGTTCGAATTATGCACGCTTAGCATACTCCGCAATAGGTTTGCCGATATCCGTACTTGTCGCAACAAGAAGAACCGAATCTCGTAAATCTGAGGAGCATTTGCACCATATGTTAGTACAAACTCTTTTATCAGTAACTCATATTAGATTACTACTAGCTGAAATTGTAACTCATTCACCATTAGCTTATTGAAAGGTAGCGTACATAAACTTACTGTTTGGTAAAACAACGGCCGACGTTGCAGCCACTGAAGCAGCGATGATGTAAAAATAAAACCACATTTCGAGCGGTCGGAGGATTTCTTGTGCAAGAGAAATGTATTTAATACCGGGTGGCTGAACAAAATGGCCGTCTCCTGTTTTCGTTTGTTTTTCGCATACCCTTTGTCGCATCGTAAACTGTTTAGGCTCATTCGATAGAAATTTTATTAATACAAAACGTAAACGAGGTTTTTAAAAAATTGCTTCTTCAGTTTGCAATGATGCCAAATGAAACTGTCTGAAAATTGTTTGTGTCCCAGCTCGCAAAACATAAAATCTTGTGCCATTTTCCCCTTACGGACCTTTTGAATATTTATAACTGTTTCATTTAGCAAAATACGTTTTCTTTCAATAGAAAAAAAGTCTTGGTCATGCTGCATACGCTGAACGAGTTATGCAGTCAAGACACATTGTGACTTTTCGAAAAATGCCGGTTTTTTATTTAGTATTTTCAGATATTTTCTGTTACAATTTTTTTTACTGCATGATGAGCAGTAAACAAAAAAAAATGAAGATTTGACTTTAAAATGTAGCTGACACGACGTTCCTCTGAACAAAATTGAGTCGGTAAGCTGTTAAAACGTTTTTGAAATTTGCTCTAAAGACTTTGTTTGCCGGTTTCAGGAATTACTTGAAAGTAAAGTCTCAGTTCTTCAGCACTGGCCAAGCACGGTTGCTAGAATACTGCAATTCCTTACAGTAAAACGAGAAACAACTCACCAGAAAAATGAAATAAGCTACATTAATGTCGTTAGTTGAATAGCAAGAGTTTTAATTTAGAAACGGTAATTTCAGATTTTCGCTCCAGGACATCATCCAAACCCAGCCAGTTTTACAAAACATTCATAAAAAATTTCAGCCTTATGGAAATTTTGATTTAACTTAACTTTTAATGTTAAAAGCATTGCTCTATCGAATGAAACTAAGATAACGTCAATTCAGTGTTAGACGGATCCAGCGCACCATGACAAAAAAAACAGATTTTTGTTCAGCCACCCGGTAGAATAAATCATAAATGGTACTTTGCTAAATCAGGCAAGCAGAAATACTTTATACAATCAACCTTCATGATCAACGTAAATAATTTAGATAGATAAATATCGAATGAATACTATAAACCGGAATGTGGAAATGTGCTGTAACTACGATGCGCGTGTTGCAAAGCAGACTCTGTACAGTTCCGGCTCAGTTCTAACTGTACTGCCTGCCTGTACATGAGTACAGATATTAATCGTTCATCTCCAGCGCGTCATATGCCTATCAATCCCCCAAAATGTCAGTACGACTTACAATTGTTAGTCGTTCCTGCCCATTGCACGTGGACGTTTCGGGCATCTGACGGAAGTTTTTTGGATACAGTCATCTCTTACAGAAAAACTGTAAAGTGTTTTAGTGGAAACTAGTTTATAGTTCAGACGTCGACAGGCAACTGACTATTGACTAGAACCAACTATTGTCATAACGCCACACTAAGGTGCAGCAGTTGTACAGAGTATTTGCACGTAATAAAAGCTTCATAACAAAGTACTGATCCTTTAATAAAAGACCTTAATGAATTGGTATACCATCAGCATCCTAGCGAAGGATACTATTCAAGGCAATGGCGCAGACAACAGTAATAACGATATAAGTATTTGATGTCAAACTACTAATTTTTTGCTAAACTACTGTACACACGGT